GTTGGTTCCCTGCTCTTTTTTTTAAAAAGGCTTTTTTTTTTTTTTTTTTTTTTTTTTTTGCTATAGGGCACATTCCCTCGCCAGAAAGACAGAGACAGAGAGATAGAAAGCAAGAAATCACCCCCCAGGGAGGATGGCCACGCCACAATCCCTTCTCCTCCATTCTCCTCTTGGAGTCTTGGGCACCCATGCACACATGCCCGGTGTGCGTTTAAGTCACTGGGTCCGGGACTCGAACCGAGATTGACTACATGGTTGTTCAGCGACGTAGCCATTACGCTAACTGCTGGTCCCGAGTTGTAAGAGTTTATATAGTCTAGATGTAAGTCGCTTATTGGATATATGATTTATGAGTATTTTCTCCTATTCTGTGAATTGTTTTTTCACTATATTGATAGTATCCTTTGATGTACAAAAATTTATAAGATTGAATAAAGTCATATTCTTTTTTCATTGTTGATAATGCCTGGCTTTTGGTGTTGTAACCAAGAAACAATTGCCAGGGGCTAGACAGAGGTGCAGCCGTGAAACACATGTTCTGGGAGGCAGTCCACCTAGGAAGGTTCCTGGCTGAAGTTCAGACATCCTGAAGTACACCAGGCACATGATCCAGGGCTGACTAAAGCTGGGAGTAGATTATGGCATTGAGATCCTTTGAGGGTGCCTTCTTTCTGTCTCTGGTTCTCTTGTGCATGGAAGGAAGACATAAACTTAAAACAAAAAAAACACCGAAACGTTGCCAAGTTCAGCAACATGAAGGTTTTTTTTTTTTTTTTATGGTTTCTTCTAAGAATGTTAAAGTTCAGCTCTTATGTTTAGGTTTTTGATCCATTTTGAATTAATTTTTGTATATGCTGTAAAGTAAGTTTCCAACTGAAGTTTTTGCATGTGGATATTTAGTTTTCCCACCACCATTGGTCTAAAAGATTATCATTTCCCTGTTGAATGATCTTGGCACTCTTGTCCAAAATCATTTGACCACGTGTGCGAGGATTTATTTCTGGGCTGTTGTATTCCATTGGACTACATTCCTGTGTTCTTGCTAGTAGTATACTGTTTTGACTACTTTTGCAGAAAGTTTTAAAATCAGCAAGTTTGGAACCTCGTTCTTTGTTCTTGCTTTTTCAAGGTTGCTTAGCTATTTAGGATCTCTTGAGAATTCATAGGAATTTTAGGATTTTTTTTCTGTTTCTGGAAAAAAACGTCATTGGGATTTCTATAGGGATTGGATCAAAAGTTTAGATTGCTTTGTGCAGTATTGCTATTTCCCCTCCCACCCCTTTTCTAAAAATTTGCTGTAGGGCTCATGGACCATGCACTCATCAGAGAGAGCGAAAGTACCAAGTACCCCCCTCCCCTGGGGGAGGGGAATGGACTTGCCTCAGTCCCTTTTTCATTCTTCCCTTGGAATTTTGGACACACACACACGTGTGTGGTGTGTTTTTGAAGCCACAGGGTCTAGGACTTCAAAACCAAAAACTATGTGGGATCCAGCGACCTTAACCCCCATGCAAGTTGGCTAGTGTACCTTCTTCTTTCTTTTAATCTCTTTTCTTTTAATTCTTATAACCATTTTATCACATTTTTCTGTTCTGTTGGGAATAGAGATTCTCCAAGTTCTAAAATTTGTCATTTACTAAATTGAGCTTATACAATATTATCAGCATTCTTTGGCATTCTGTCTAAAGGATGAAGAGGCAAATTTTCATGCTCATGTTCCTTTTCTTTACCTACTTTCATCCAGCAATTTTGTCTACTTTCTGCATCCTAGGCTTATTATTTATTTTCCACTATCTGGTAATAGTTTATTAAAAATTGTTGGCTGTTGGGGAACCAGGAGGTGGCGTGATAGTTAAGTGCACTGAATTTCCACATGGCTGACTGTTGTTTAAGTCCCAGACCTGGTGGCTTTCTTTCTTTCTTACTCTCTCTCTCTTTCTCTCTGGTCAAATTAAAATAATAATAATGATGATGAATAAAATAAAATAATTCTTTAAAAAAATTGGCTGTTGTCAAACGTGAAGAAATGATAGGAAGAGGATCATAGGAAGGGATTACATGAGTGATAAATTAAAAACATTTTGGATCAAACCCCAAAAAGAAGATAATGTGTAAAAATACAAATAATGAGAGGCCATACAAGGAGGGAATTACAATCATTATTCTTGGATAGATTAGCCCAGTATTTTAGATGTGTTGAAGGATCATTCAGACTTAATTGGAAAGACTGTATCATATTAAATTCAAACACTATACATAAATGAGAGCACAAGAAGATTAATATGCCCAAGGCTATATAGACAAGACAGAGAATTTTACCATGGTCAGGATAGCTGGTGCCACAGTAGTTGAAGTAGCTGGATTCAACATGACCTACAGTGTGGTACAAGTCCCAGACCCTGTGGCTTGAAAAAGCACTCTGGAGTGTGTGTGTGCGCGCACACACCTAGAATCCTTAGAGGAGAGGGAGGAGAAGGGATTGCCTTGTGGTCATCGCCCTAGCTGGGACTTTCGCACTTTCCCTCTCTTTCTCTGGTGGGTGCTCATGCCCTATAACAAATACAAAAATGATTTTTGTTTTGTTTTGTTTTACCATGGACATTTTGACTGTAGAATCTGAGGATTAACCATTGTTTTTCTGTGTGTATAATCTAGTAGGCCAAACCAGAGTTTGAACTTGATCCTGTACACAGCGTACAACTCCTTGAGAATTTTAAGCAGGGACATAGATAAAATAAGTAAACGAAATTATATTTTGCATTTTAAAAGCATTGATCTGTCTCTCTGCTGGGGGAGTTGTGGAGAAGGAGGTATGAGATATAGTATAAAAATGCTTCATGTTCTATGTATTCTATGAGGTAACTTTAAAGTGAAAGTAGTTTCTTAACCTCTATGTGGATCAGTTTTCTCATTTGTTAAATGAAAATAATAATGCTTCCTACCTTCCTACCCAATAGGAATGTAAAACATAATCAAATGACATAGAATTGCACTTTGTAAATATTCAGGGACACTTAACTGTGATGATGATTATTGGTTAACTCTTCAAGGTCAGGCTTAAATTTTAATCATGCTTTCTTATTTCTGAATGTATGGGTTTTATAGAACGAACAGATATAACTTAGGATTCTACTGTACAATAAAATCTTCACAACTGCGTGCTATTATTTTGATTTTTCAGTTCATGGGAAAAACAGATGGGGACTATTACACTCTGGATGACATGTTCGTTTCCAAAGCAGCTGAAAGAGAACGTTTTGGTGAAGAGGAAGAGAACCAGAGGAAAAAAGCAATTGCTGAGCATCAGAGCCTCGCTGCACAAATGGAAAAATGTCTATACTGTTTTGACAGCTCTCAGTTTCCCAAGCACCTTATTATTGCAATAGGTGTTAAGGTAAGTGTTATCACATGTATTGATTTTGCTTACCCTTTCATAGAACCTGTTTATTTCTTCATAGACTATCACAATTTGAAGAAGTTTGTATTTTCTTTGTTTTGATTGTTTAATGATTTATCCCCTAATTGTCTTAAAGCTTAAAGCTCTGTGAAACTGAGGTAACTTTTGCTTACCATTGTATGCCAAGCTAGCCCTATTCATAACACATATTAGTCATTTTTTAAAAAGAATTACGTACTTAATTTATTGTCATTTTTTTTTTCAGTTTGTTGTAGAGCATGCGTGCTCACCAGGGAGAAACAGGGAGAGAGTGTGAGAGAGAGAAAGCGAGAGCCAAGAGCAAGTGAGAAAGCAAGCTGTCCGTGACTCGAACCACAGTCGGCCATGTTCAGTGCCTTAACTACCACACTGCCTGCCAGTCCCATAATAGTTGTCTCTTTCCATCAATATTTATTGATTTAATTCTTACATTAAGTAAATAATTTTTGTATTTCTAACATATGCTGGACCCTAGTTAGTCACTAGGGAAAAGTAGAGAATCAGATGGACTTCTGCAACTTGAATTCTAGTTGAAATAGAGCAGAAGATAAAGTAATAATCATCCTGATTTAAAAGAATTTTAATTATCTTAAAACAAACAAAGTGGAGGAATGGGCAAAATAATGAGAAAGTATTATTTTTGGTAAGGTGGTCTGAAAGGCTTCTCTAAGGTGTTTTAGTAAAAGTACATAATGGCAAGGAGCAAATGATATGCAGATAAGAATGAATAATGCTTCAGTAGGGAGTATCAGTGAGTGAAAAGCCTTGAGAAGGAAATGAGCTTGGTTGGCATCCATGGAAGAGAAAAATGCTGGAGTGTAGTGAGTGAGGAAAAACAGAAGAGGTTGAGTGCTTCAGATCATTAAGGTAGTTAATTTATAGATTTTTTTTGTAACGTTATCACTTTTCCTTTTCTTCTCTTTTCCCTTTTTCCATACTTTGTATCAAACAGCAAATGTAAAAATTACATCAAAAAGTTAACCATTTAAAAAAATAAGTGGAATCTATAGACTAAAGGCAGAGGGACCTGATACAGTCGCTGTGACAGTTATGTAATTTGAAGTGGAACTGAACAATGAAGTAAAAGGATGGCGGATGGTGGGAGCCCGCTTTCTCACTATTTGAATGAGAACTTATATTGTATTGGGTCATTGGAAAAGTCCGGACATATTTTTGTATGTTTTTAATGCAAAAATGCATCATGACTTTTCTCACTACCCAATAGATAAGAAAGGAGGGAAGGCTAGAAGAATGAATGTGGTATTAACAGATTAGAATTGAAGATGTTAAGTATTATTAAACTCATGTGTAGCTTGATAGAGGTATAGATGGTTGCATATGGAAATATTAATATATATATATGTGTGTGTGTGTGTGTGTGTGTGTGTATGTGTGTATCCTTACAGGCTTGTGTGTGTTCATATGCATATCTAGACCTTTCTTGACTTATTTCTTCAGAATTTAATAGTTTTTCATGGTTAGATTTTATGAATTGGGTTGTTGGAAAAGTCATGACTTTTTTTTCTATTTTTCTATGCAAAAATGAGTCATGATTTTTCTGACATCCCAATGTATAATATATTTTTAAAAAACATTTTTGGGATGCTATTGTAAATACTATTGTATTTTTTATTTCAAAATTCGATTGTTCATCGCTCATATATAGGAAAGCAGTTGATTTTTGTATAGTAACCTTGTATCCTATGATCTTGCCTAATCACTTACTCCTGGAGTTTTGTTGATTCATTGTGATTTTCCTCATAGACCATCATGCTATTTGTGAATGCTTTATTTTTTATGATATGTTTACTTGTATTTTCAATAAACTATGGGATCTTTTCCAGAGGGTCAGCAGGCAGTGGTTGAGTATTTTATATAATGAACCATAAAAAATATGACCACAGCTTGAATAAGATTTGTGTTTATTACATTTTTTTTAAGATTCCAGTCATCTACTTTTAATTTGATCTAGAAAAAGATAATGCATGGTTCGGTTATTTATTCTTTTATCAAGTATTTTTTTGAGCATCTAGTGTATGTCAGGCTTTTTGTTAGGTCCTAGAAATAAAAATATAGCTTAAGTCCTCTCAATTTGCCTACAGTTTTACAGGGAGCAGGCAAACACATAACAGATCCATTTTAACGCAGTAATATAGATGCAGAAGTGTTATGGAAAGACAAAAGAGGAAACCTTAAATTATCCTGGCATGTCAAGGAAGGCTTCCTGTAAGTAGTATGTCTTATACTTCAGTATAAGACAAATAAGACAGATTTCAGTATTTAGGAGATGGAGGAAACATGAACAAAGGCACTGAGGGTATAGAACCACATAGTGTCTTCTGGAAATTGCAGGTTATCTGAAATGAGTGCACCCCTTATTTGACTTAATGCATTAGAGGTATAAAGGCTTTACACTTGTGTTAGAGCTTAGAATGATCTGATCTTCCATTTATAACTTTAAATAAAGGAAGAGTAGTAAAGTTAGTATATAACAATCTGTATCAAAATTCAGTAGCTGAAGACAACAGTCATTCATGTCGTGATTGTTTGGATTGGCTATTTGGACTGGGTTCTGTATCTGTGTTTGTGCCTGCGGTTAGCTGCTGGATCAGTTGACATCTGGTCTAGAACCATCTCTGCCTGGATGGCTCCTTCTGTTCCATATGGCTTCTCTTCTTCCAATAGGCAAGTTTGTTCACATGGAGAATACTCTTATTCTAAGAGAATGAGTAAAATGCACAAGGCCTACTGAAGGATAGATTTGAAACCTACCACCATTACTACCACCATATTCTTTTGACCTTTATCAGTCACAAGGCCAGCCTACAACTCTACCTCTAGATTGGAGGAACTGTAGAGTGGTATTGTAAAAGGTATGGGTATATGGAAGAGTGAAAAACTGGGTACATTTGTGTAATCTACTATAAAAGACTCAAAATTTTTATATATACTCTGTTAAAATGCTATATTGGAAATACCTTGTCTTACATGGTCTCATCTAAATTCATGATTATCATTTATATAGTATTAGCAAATTTATACTTCAATCTGCCAGAATTCTAGGTTCATATATTCAACCTGCATCTATGCATGGATATTGAATAGATACTTCAAATGGAATGTCAAATCTCTGCTTCCATCTTTACCCTCACCTAATACCTATCCCTCTCATAGTCTTCCTCTTTTTAATGAATATCACCTTCATCCTCTAACTGTTTAGAGTAGGCCTTGGGGGGTAATACTTGAGTACTTTATTTCCTCATACTCCATATACTGTCTATCTCTAAATCCCATTGGATCTTTTCAAAATATATTCCTATTCGGATCACATGTCATAATCTTTGTTTCTACCATATCTTAGATTAGATCATCATCATCTATTGCTGAACTTGTATAATAGTTTCCTGATGGAAACTTCTTCCAGCTTCTTTCCTTACCCCCTTCTTTATACAGTAGCCAGAATAATCTTTTAAATTTAAGTTGAGGGACCAGCAGATGGTGTAATGGTTATGTTGCTTTACTCCCACATAGTTGACCATGGTTTGAATCCTGGACCCAACAATTTAAAATTCAAGCCAGCATGAGTGTGTGTGTGCCCAAGATCCTGAGGGGAGAATGGAGGACAAGGGACTGTGGCGTGGCCATATTCTGTGGGGGTGATTTCTCGCTTTCTGTCTCTCTGTCTCTCTGGTGAGCACATGCACCCTATAGCAAAAAATCTCTCTAAAAAAAAAAAAAGTCAATATTAGAACTGTCTTTAAGGAAAAGACCAGGTTTCTTATTGTGGCCTCTGAGGCCATATAGGTCTATTACTCTCTCTGACCTCATTTTCTGATACCCTGTCTCTCATTCTCAGTTTAGCCATGCTGGCTGCCTGTTTGGAGCAACACACGTAGTATGCTCCCTTCTTACATGCTGTTGTTCCCTTTGCCTGAGACTCTTCTTGCTGACAGTCTTCTCTTCAAAGATATCCTCAAATGTCTCTCTAACAAGTAACTCTAAAGAGTAGTTCCTTAACTTCTCCCTGGGTACTATCTATGCTCTTTTCTTGCTTTCTTTTATTTTCTTGCACCCCCCCCGCCCCCAGTTTTTGCTATAGGGTGCATGCTCTCACTGGAGAGAGAGGGGGAGGGGAAGAGAGAAATCATTCCCCATGGGGTATTCATAGCTAGCTATCTTCTTACCCACCTTCTCTTTGTATGGTGCAAGGGCAAGCAAATTCTCTAGGACCTCTTTTTGTAGGGACACTAATTCCATTCACAAGGGCTATGATTTTATGATATAATCACCTCTCAGAGGTCATACCTCCAAATGCCATCACATTGGACATTAGGGTTTAATACATGAATTTGAGAGGCATTGACGTTTAGTCTGCTGTGTTCCACGAGCTCCTTGAGGGCAGGAATTTCTGTCTCTTTGATCATTATTGATATCTTAGCATGTAGGACAGTGTCTGGCAATAGTAGGCCTTCGGTTTTGTTGATTGATGAATATATGGCTCTGCTTTCTCTGTCAAATAAAAAAAGTGCTCTTTGGGATGAGCAGATTGTGTAATGCTTACGTTGCTGGAATCCAGTGTAGTCAACTGTGGTTTGAGTCCCATACCCGGTGGCTTAAAACTCATGCTGGGTGCATGTTTGTATGTGCCCAAAATCCCAATAGGAGACTGGAGGAGAAGGGATTGCAGTGTGGCCATACCCTGGGCGGCAATTTCTTACTTTCTGTCTCTCTTTCTTTCTCTGGTGAGTACATGTGCCCTGTAGTAAAAACCGCTCGAGAAAAAAGTGCTCTTTGTTTTATGTGTTCAAATCTGTTAGATAAGGTTTTTTTTTTTTTTTTTTTTTTAATATGTCTACTTTTGTTTGGAAATAATGATTTTTTTTTTTTGAGAGGTTTTTGCTATAGCATGCGCTTGCGAGAAAGACAGAAAGTGAGAAATCACCCCCCGGGGAGATGGCCACGCTGCAATCCTCCATTCTCCTCTTTTTTTGGAGAGGTTTTTGCTGTAGGGCATGTATGCTTGCCACAAAGACAGAGAGAGACAGAGAGATAGAAAGCGAGAAATCATCTCTTGAGGGGGATGGCCACGCTGCAGTCCCTTCTACTCCATTCTCCTCTTGGGATCTTGGACATGCGCGCACACACACGCACCCGCCATGAGTTTAAGCCACCGGGTCTGGGACTCGAACCGCGGTCGACTACATGAGAGTCCAGTAACATAGCCATTATGCCAACTGCTGGTCCCTGGAATAATGACTTTTCAATACCTATTTTAGATGCTTTTAAAAATTAACTTTAGGGGGAATTCATGTGGAGGTCAGAGTGAAAGTAGGTGTGAGAGTGTCCAACAGAAGGAAGTGTGGCTTCCAGAGTGTTTGAGTCCATTGGCAAGTTCATCCTGGCCTTAGCTCTTGCAGGGGGTGTGGTGATGTCTGCCTTATGGAATGTGGATGCTGAGTACAGAGCTGTCATCTCTGATGGAGTCCGTGGAGTACAGAACATTGTGGTAGGGAGAGGGTCTCATTCCCTGGGTGCAGAAATCAGTTATCTTTGACTGCCACTCTCGACCATATAACTTGCCAGTCGTCACTGGTAGCAAAGATTTACAGAATGTCAGCATCACCCTTTTTCTGGCTTATGACCTATCAACTTCCTTGGCATCTTCATCAGCATTGGTAGGGACTATGATCAGCGTGTGCTGCCGTCTATCAGTACCGAGGTCCTCAAGTCCGTGGTGGTTTGCTTTGATGTGGGAAAACTAATCATCCAGAGAGAGCTGGTCTCTGGACAGGTGAGCAGTGTCCTTATGGAGTGAGCAGCAGCCTTTGGACTCATCCTGGATGATGTGTCATTGACACATCTGACCTTTGAGAAAGAGTTCACAGAACCAGTAGGAGCCAATCAGGTGGCTCGCAGGAAGCAGAGAGGGCCAGATTCTTGGTGGAAGAAGCCAAGCAGCAGAAGAAGGCAGCCATCTTCTCTGCCGAGGTTGATACCAAGGCTGATTGCCAACTCACTGGACACTGTAGGCGACAGCCTCATTGAGCTGCACAAGCTGGAGGCCACAGAGGGTCTTTGCCCTCCAGCAGTCAGGCTCCTGTCAGTGGGGCAGCCAGCGAGACCTGCCCCAATGAGGCCTGCTCAGCCCGTGCCTCCTCGGGCCAGCTGAGTTACAGCCCTGATGGTTCTTGACAGACTTCCTTTTATCCTCCCCAGAAATCACTGTGAAATTTGGTGATGGACTTAAAGTGAAGGATATAAAAGTAAAACCATTTAAGAGCTCTTAAAAAACTGAACTTTATTGCAGGTTATACTGCTTATGAATGATGCTTGTATGAGATTCTTTATCTCAATAACTGTATAGGAAGTTTAGTTATTTCTTTTAATATTCCTTTTTTTTAAAACAAAGAATGTGGTTGTGATTTTATTATAAATGTAGTTAAATCTAGGTAAGTGTATGTACTATATATGTATATGCCCATTATTGTGCTGTATCTTCTCAGCAGTTTAAAAATTTTGCATCATTTGGTACAATAAATAAGTAGTGTCTGTCGTGCAAAATATTTCTAGCTAAAGCCTAACAAAAAATAATAGGAAATAAGATCAGGTTCCTTTGTAGAATATTATTTATGTTCCTCATGAAACCATTGCTCATTGCATATATACTAAATAACCTTTAAAAAGAAAAAGACAGTTTGTATATAATGGAAAAAGAGCACCAGCTTTTTTTTTTTTAAGAATTATTTTATTTAAGTTTAAATATCTATCTATCTATCTATTTATTTATTTAAATTTGACCAGAGAGGGACAGAGTGAGAGTGAGAGTGAGTGAGTGAGTGAGAGAGAGAGAGAGGGAGAGAGAGAAAGGGAAAGTGAGAAAGAAAACAAGTCACCAAGTCTGGGACTCAAACTGTGGTTGGCCATGTGGGACTCCAGTATCCTTAACTACCACACCACCCGCCGGCCCCATACCAGCTTTTAAGTAATATGTATACAGAGCAGTAAAACCATACTGAGATCATTTCAGCAGGGTTAATGCTCTCGTCTCAATTAATAAGAAAAAGGAAGTCTAATAGTCATCAGCTAATAGTCATCAGCTAGACCATTACCAGACCATGTAGCTTTCTCTCCTAGAAAAGGTGCTGTTTCAAGGTTTTTCAAAGTCTGTAGCTCTCTCTGATCAAGGGTAAAGTGTTATTCATTATGCCCCCCCACCCCCTGCTTTTTTTTTTTTTTTTTTTTTTTTAAGAAATTCTTGCTATAAGGCATATGTGCTTGCTAGAGAGATAGACAAAAAGAGAAAAATCACCCCCCTTCTCCTTTCTCCTCTCAAGATTTTGGGCATGCATGCATATGCACCCAGCATGTGAGTTTTAAGCCACCAGGTCTGGGACTTGAACTGCTCCCCACTGCATGGGAGTCCAGTGACGTAACCATTATGCTACTTGCTATTCCCACTTTATACCTTTCTTAATATTTGTCTGATGTTTAAAATTGATAGCTACAGTCTAAATTTTTAGTTAATAAAAAGTCATCCTTATGGCTTTTAAAATAGTTTTAAAAATGAAATATCTTTAAAAAATTTAAAATAAAAACAACTTCTTATAAGCAAGTGTGCTTTATTAAGTAGTAGCCAGTTTTCCCTACTGGGTGCTTGTCTCTTACAACTGAGAAGAAATAGAAATAATGTTTCGCCCTTGGTATTTTGTTCCCCATAGGTTTATTTATGTTTACCCAACTTCCGATCTCTTACGGAGGGACACTGCCTGATAGTCCCTTTGCAGCACCACAGAGCAGCTACCTTATTGGATGAAGATATCTGGGAGGAAATTCAGGTCAGCACTATAATGCTTTTCATCATTGGAAAGCTCAAGAGCAATTTTATAAACTGTTGTGTTTAACATTATACAAAATTGGGTAAAGGAGGAAAAATCAAATTCTTTTATACAAATAATGGTATTATACTTCCTTTTGTGTTATAAAAGAAATGTATTGTTAGAAGTTAAAGATTACTGTAAGGTAGTGAACTAATGAAATATCTGAAACCTAGTTTATTTACTGACAGGTTTTTTGTTTGTTTGTTTTTCTTTTAAATATGTACAATTCAAATTAATTATACTATAGTGAGTATTCTTATGTTTTATTCACTTTGGTTTTTGGGTGTATTATAAGAATGCTTTAATTTAGCACAAAACATTGTGGCACAAGCCACTTTTTTCAACTGCTTTTTATCACTGTTATCTAGTAACATTTAAATTAATTTCCTTAGATGTTCAGAAAATCATTGGTAAAAATGTTTGAAGATAAAGGATTGGACTGTGTCTTTTTAGAAACTAATATGAGCATGAAGAAACAGTATCATATGGTTTATGAATGTATTCCTCTTCCAAAAGAAGTGGGTGATATGGCTCCCATCTATTTTAAGGTATTTATAGGTAGTTTTTGTATGCATACGTACTTGGCTGTAGTGCTGTTTTATAAATACAATGTCTTTTTTCATGTATTTTTCTTTGGATTGTATGCTGAACATCTTTGTTGGAAGAAATTTGGGATGTTGACTTTTTTAAAAGTATGGTTTGCTTAGAAGTATGAATATATTGATCAGAAGGTAACTTACAATTTCTGTTTTTATTTTCTCATTTCCCAAGTGAAGTCAGTATTTTACCTTGAAATATTTTCAAGTCAAAATTGTAATCATATCTCTAGAAAACGGATTATTGAAATACTCTAGAGCCAAGGGTAATAACATACAAATAATACAAATTACTATTGCTTAGAAACGTTATTGCTGTAAATTTTAGCATTTAATAATGCATCAAGCTCTTTGTAAGAAAAATCATTTCTAGCCTTGATACACATCTTTGGACATGTAATAAATGACTGGAATTCATAACCGAATTAACACTGTATTATAGCAGTTTTTACTCAGTATTATGTTTTTGATGCTAAACGGAATTTACAGATTGATACAGATGTGCAAAGAAAAAGGGAATATTTCTTTATTTGTTTAAGAAGGTTGCATGTGGGACCAACAGGTGGCGGAATGGTTATGTTGCTCGACTCCCACATGGCCAACCATGCATGTTTCGAATCCCAAACCTGGCACTTTGAAGCTCAGGTCAGGTGCATGCATGTGTGTGCTCAAAATACCAAGAGGAGAATGGAAGAGAAGAGATTGTGGCATGGCCATCCCCTCTGGAGGGAGATTTCTTACTTTCTGTCTCTCTCTCTCTCTCTGTCTCTGTCTGCTATAGAGTGAGCATGCGCACTCTATAGCAAAAATCTCTCTCTAAAAGAAAAAAAAAGATAAGAAGGTTGCATATGAAATATTTTGACAGTATGGGGTAGTAAAATTAATTAATATAAAGTGTAAGTCCCAGTGAAAAGGATTATTAACTTGTTAATATTAATGAGTTGATAAAAATCTGTTTTATTTATAGAAATCTCTAAAGACAACCTGATTTGGTGTGAAGAATTATGCAACTTAAGTATAGGAGATAATCTGAAAGACCCATGTCTTTACCATGTTAACGAAAATGTAGTTGAGAAACAGCTTCTACTTTTCCAATGTGTTTTTTATACTTCATCAGAAGAGTCTTAGGTGATTGTGAACTAGAAATATGTGAGGCATATGACCCAACATAGAACAGCTACTGTTGTTCATGTGGGGCGACAGAAACGTCACCTCTTCGCAGAGTGGTATATTCCTTTTCTTTTCCACACTAAACTTTCTGTGATCACTAACAATATATTTTATTTATTTGGTTTAGCTTCACTTTTATATTGAATGTGCTACAACCTTTTGAATATGGAACAACAATATACCTGATAATATTTACACTGTACTTATTTGAAAATCAATTTTATTTAAAAAATTTGTTTCATTATACTACTATACAGAAATTGGATTATTTTATATTCATCATCATGGATATTTTTATATTAAATATTTCTTTTTTTTTTTTTTTTTTGAGAGGTTTTTGCTATAGGGCCCTTGCACTCAACACAAAGATGGAGAGAGATAGAGGCAGAAAGTGAGAAATCACCCCCCAGGGGGAATAGCCATGCTGCATTCCCTTCTCCTCCATTCTTCTCTTGGGATCTTGGGCACGCATACACTCATGCCTGGCGTGAGTTTAAGCCACCGGGTCCAGGACTCAAACCGCTGTCGACTACATGGGAGTTCTGTTACATAGCCATTACACCAACTGCTGGTCCCTTAAATATTTCTTTATTGTGAATACTAATACTGCTTAGCTTAGCAAGCCCTTTTAAAAATTTTATTATTATTATTTTTTAAATTTGCCATAGGGCATATGCATTCACAGAAACAGAGAGAGAGAGAGAGAGAGCACGTGCACTAGTGTGTGCGAGTGAGCAAGCCACCAGGTCTGGGACTCAAACTGTAGTCAGCCATGTGGGAGTCCATCATCTTAACCTCCATGCCACTTGCTGGCTCCAGCCTAGCAAGTCTTTTTTCTTTTTTTAAAAAGAAATTTTTGCAGGACCAACAGTTAGTGTGATGGCTGTGTCTCTGGACTCCCATGTAGTCGACTTCTGTTCAAGTCCTGGACCCTTAACCTCCATGCCACTTGCTGGCTCCAGCCTAGCAAGTCTTTTTTCTTTTTTTAAAAAGAAATTTTTGCAGGACCAACAGTTAGTGTGATGGCTGTGTCTCTGGACTCCCATGTAGTCGACTTCTGTTCAAGTCCTGGACCCTTAACCTCCATGCCACTTGCTGGCTCCAGCCTAGCAAGTCTTTTTTCTTTTTTTAAAAAGAAATTTTTGCTATATGATGCATATACTTGCTGGAGAGACAGAGAGACAGAAAGTGAGAAATCATCCCCTTTAGGGGATGGCCATACCCCAGAGCTTTCTCCTCCACCCTTTTCTCGTGATTTTGGGCCCACACTCACACGCGTCCAGCATAAATTTTAAGCTGCCAGGTCCCGGACCCAAACTGCGGTCGACTAAGTGGGAGTACAGTGATGTAATCATTATGCCATCTGCTGGTGCCCTAGCAAGTCTTATAGTTTTATTCTTATGTATTCTTCTCATTGCATTTTTAAAAAATAGACTGTATTTTTTAGAACAGTTTCTCCTTGCATTTTTTTACTTCTCTATTGTATGGGCAAAAATAGTTCAAGTGTTGTGTTGCCAGAAAGTATATAAACTACTCTGTTGATACTTTGAAGAACATTAAAACTAAATGAATTTATTTGAGTAGATTTCTGTAAATATAGAATGACTTTTTGAACTTTCGTGAGTGAAGAGTTATGAAAGAGTAAAAGATTATTTCAACTGAAGATAGGACTCGGAAAAAAAAATTAAGGTTTCAATTTTAAATAACTAAAATTAAAGCCTTAATCCATTCAGAATAACGGTCTACTACATACTGTCCACTCTGTAAGTAACTCACTGTAGTACTGTTTTAAACTGTGTCTTTATATTTGCTTATATATTATTTTTAACAAATGACTATTTCTTAGAAAGCCATAATGGAATCTGATGAAGAGTGGTCCATGAACAAGAAGTTGATTGATCTCTCTTCCAAAGATATCAGAAAATCTGTAAGTATCATTTTTTTTTTCCTAATAAAAATTTACCCTTATGGTTAGGATCTTCATTAATTTCCTTATCTTAGAAAGAGGCCATTTGACTGAGTGGCTAAAGGTGAAGTAACTAATTCCACACATCAAAAAGAAATTACTTTCATCCTATTTAGTCAAGAAAATACTTGTGTATAGAAGGTTTTATTTGTACACGTGAATGTTTTTCACTGACCTTTAGCCTCTGTCACTGTAATTGGCTGTGGCAGCTGTTCAGATCTGCCATGAGATGTCCTCTGATGGGCTTCTCAGTCCCTTGGGGGGACTGAGAGGAGCTTTCTTACTGAAATTAGAATGAGAGAAAAATATTTCTTAGAGGCCTTGTTTAGAATGGTATTCCTTTTCTCTTTATATGCAAAGGTTCTCTCTTAGGTTCTTATTTTATTTTCTTGCTTACATTTATTTATTTATCTATATATTTATTTGCTCTGCTTTTCAAGCCACCTGGTCTGGGACTCAAACCACAGTCAGCCATGTGAGAATCCAGGGCTGTAACCACCACACCACCTGCTGGCCCTCAGTTTTGTTCTTATATAAACAGTTGTTTAATTAGATTATGGCTTTTTTGCTCTTTGGGGATTTGACTAACCAAGTTTCTTAGTGGTTGATTTGCAGATTAACTTTTAGATGTTAAGTTATACCTAAATTGAGTACTTTTATAATGACTTCTCTCTTTTCTAGAAATACAAATGAAGTAGAATAGAGACTTAATAGAAGTGTGCACCCCTTTTTTTTCTATTCAAAAGAAATTTATTCTACAAATATTTATTAAGTGCCTACTGTTTACCAGGCACTCTGCGAGGTGGTGTTTTTTTGTGCATAGTGGAACAGAACAGGAATTCCCTGCCTTTATGGCACTTGTATTCTAGTGCAGGGGTTTACAACTCAAAACTATATCTACATCTACTGCCTGTTGGTATAAAGAGTTTTATTGGAATACAGCCACACCTATTGTTTATATATAACTTATGGCTACTTTCACGGTACAAGGACAGAATCTGAGTCATCCCAGCAGAGACCATATGATCCTGCACAACCAATAATACGTTATCTGACTCTTTGACAGAAAAGTTTTCCAATCTCAGTCTAGTAGCTGTCACTAGAATATTTTCCCCTTATTTCTTTTTTTTCTTTCCATTTATTTATTTATTTTTACATTTTTCCAGAAACATTTACTTTACATAACAAAAAATTTTTGCGTAATGGCGATGTCACTGGACTCCCATGTAGTTGACTGTGGTTCAAGTCCTGGACCCAGTGGCTTAAACTCATGCCAGGCATGTGTGCATGCGTGCCCAAGATTCTTTTTTTTTTTTTTTTTTTTT